AAAAAAAAAAAAAAAAGAAAAAAACAAAGAGGAAATTGAAAAGGAATACGCGAAGGAAAAGAAACAAAAGTGATATTTGTTTCCGAGTGACTTGGTGAGACTGCAACAGATGCCACGGCCTGAAAGGATGATCGCGTAGCGGCGCCCGACCATCACGGCCCTGAGTGGCCGACACATCATGTCACAGTTCTCTTTCCGAGGATCACCAAATCTACAGGTGAGTTCTCAATGTTTCGTGCTTACTCGCTTTTTCGATTTGAAGTCTGTCATTTACCGGAGTAGCGTTGCGATTCGGCCGGATGACACGATTACGATGGTGATGGATGTACCTTCGAATCGGTCTTTCAATGACATCAATCAGGGCACTGTAACTGAAATCAATCGGATGATTGGTGAACTTTGTTATCTCTCGTCGATATCGTGCCGAGGAGATTTCACCAAGTTTCAACTTGGCCGAGCGAACGGGTCTTGGAAACGTGGAATTAAAAAGTCCGCAGGAATTCGCATATATCGAATATGTATATAATACATTTAATAGCGGTTTAATGGACAGACGAACCGATCAAAACATGTTTACGAATTCTTTTAATTTGCATTATGTTAAAGAAACAGGGAATAACGTGAATTTCTTTTACATCGGATACGCACCAAAGCTTCGTCAACGCCTTAATTGTTTTATCGCAAAAACATCGAACGAGACGAAAGTATATTTTATTCCCATTGTGTGTGCTGCAGTAGGAAAAGTTTATTATAATGTTACGTCGTAACGTGGCACAATGTACATTTAGATACAGTCCGATTTATCGCAATTGCCTTTTTATTCGTAAAATGATGATGAACTTTGGATCAGTTTCCAATTGAATGTGAAATAGTTTCACAAGAGACAAGTGAAAGAAACACTAACAGTGCATTGTTACAATGACTAGTGCGCGATAAGTGCGCGCATATTTCAACGTTAAACGTTCGACGCCGAAAGAAGAAACGCAGAGGGAGCACAATTCAACAGCTAGCATGGTCGTTGGTCGTTCGGCCGATAGATATGTATGTATGAATCCGGATATAATTTCAATCGTTTGAAAGTCAAATTTATTCGACGGTCAAAAGCCTCACCTATTTGTGTCTATCTGTTCCTCCTCGTGACGATATGACTTCGCATATGCCGGACTAACCAGCGAATGAATCGTTTATGCTGTTGACTATTCACCACGAAAGCGGATATCGCTGCTACCGTTGCGGATCCGCTTTTACGAGCTGTCGAGGGAACTGCTTTCTTCGTTCCCTCTTGCAGTTATGACTGTTGTTGCTTGATTTCGTGTGGAAGAGGCTATTAATGAAATTGCACGCGATGCGTTTCCAAATTCTTCATGTCTGGGGATTTCCGTGTTGTGCTTTTAACGCGTTCCATCCGCACGTGTCAAAATTGACTCATTATGATCTCTGTGTACAAAATAATCTTGACATTAATATTAAAATCATTACATTGTTTGGAACACGTTTTTGAAGTACATTTACAGAATGAATTAAAAAGTAAATTGAGTATTGAAAGAAATAAGATTGAGTGATGGCTGAAATGGTGCTGAAATTTTCAACCGTGATATATGGCGATTGAATTTCGTCTGTCACGAAAGCAATTTCTTCGTCTGCTCAAGTTAAGTTTAATCTCATTCATCTGAATTGATTACACAGATCAAAGATGTTACAAGCGTCAAACAATTATCGCTTGGATTGAGCAGTTGTGACATCTTATCGACTTTAAAATTACAAAATCTGTTACACGTTGCGAGCAAAACATGTATTTTAGAGGCTGTCAGAAAATCACACTCTGCGTATGCACGTACGATGTGTCGCGCGTTTACAATTCTCCAATTCGTTTATGCCAACGACATACCGATACTATATCAGCGTTAAATGAAATTCCCAACAAGTCGAAAGCACAATTAGTCGTTGCGCCGATTCATTTCAGTTCCACGACCGCAACGGATAATTTGTAGCGTGGGATCTTGTTCGTTGCGAAAATGGATAGCCGTTGGCAAGCCTGAGAGATTCGGTACCACGTGTCCTGACATGTTGCATATAGGTGTACGTTGCATACCTATGCGCCGTGCATAGCGCCGAGCTGAGAACATGTGTTGCCACGCCTAAAGCAACGTTCCGAAATGATCGAAGAGCTTGCGCCCTGGCTAGAATAATTATCTCATCTTACCATCAACCAGCTTTTTGTCACGATATCCTCGCCGTTGTTCGGCTACAACCCATCTTCAACTTGCTAGCCGCACGAACGCTCCTCTGTTTTTTCCATCGTCCGACGTTGCTCAAATTGTGTCGTTTTTTTCCCTATAAGAGTCACGCGATCTAATTTTCACAAGAGTGAGAAACCATCGAAGAATTTTCAAAATTTCACAATTTTTCAAAACGTGTTGTGTCTGTTACGCAACGTTTTTTCGTTGGTTGGTAGGTTGTAACAACTTTCTACAGGAAAGTGGCTACGTAAAAGTGTTTTAACTAAACACACTTTGTCCAACGGAATGAATTAACGTGGCTTGAAAGGTGACAATTTTTCACCGCGGTCGACGATTCGGCTGGTAGCGATCGTGTCTCGTGTAAGTGAGGTACGAGACACAGAACGGAATCGTTTGCGTATCACATTGTTTAAGTGCCGATAAAAATTAATGGTTCATTATCTACGAGTATTACCCCACTTGTAACAGTGTTAAATAAACAAACAAGCACTTTAAGTTTCACGGTTGTTGTTTTATCGTTGACACACTTTTCTTTTCAATTCCTCCCCGTCGTTGCCCGTCATCTTCGTTACGTTAATCATCACGTACGTCACTCAGCGTGCATTATTTATTATACCGCGTAGAACTAACATCGTAATCACGGAATTCAATTTCTAAGAAACAGGGAGAGAGATAGAGAAAGCCGTTGAATCATCAAACGCCACTTTCTTTCTCGAAGAGCGCATGCGACACACTTTATCATAATTATGTCACAGTCTAGCTAAAAATCAATGATAAGCTACGTTTATATATTACCTTTATATATTGTCTATCAGGCTTATTTTCTTTTATCGTACGTATGTTTCTCCTTTTTTTTTCGCGACGTGTGTCCGTCTAGTAAACAATGGGGTGTTAATTGTAGTTGATTCTCTTATTGCGGATAGTTATCAGTACCGTGTTGCTTGGCATTTGTGCTACGTCGATGATGTAACGAGTTGTTGCGCTCGCCGAAGTAATTGCCGACCATAAATATGTGCAACATGCAAAGCGTGTAAACTTACCATTAATAACCATAAAACCTAGCGGTTCAAGTGAACCGAGTTCGACACTGTCGTGTTCGTTCAACACCGAATCGGTCTCGACGCTCGTCTCGACATTATACTTCAATCATGCTTCGTTTTTTCATCGTGGAACGCTGCTAGAAATCGAAGTCTCTTGGTATTTTCATACTCTTGCACCACAGTCTCGATCAGATTTCTCCTGTTAAAACGACTGGCGATATCGAGCTAGGAGATATTCGCGACCAAACGAGCATATTTCACGTTTCATGTTCTTGCACGGATGCAACGCGTTTGTAGCGAAGAACAAAGGAATGTCCTCGATGTAGCAACGGGCTTTAATTTTGGCTTGAAAAATTCGAAAGCGGGGCGCCTCGAAGAGCGAAGACCGCGCCTTGCGGTGGCGACGACTATATTAAATTTAGAACGCGGCGAATTCATATCTCTAATCTCTCAGTCGGTTGATTTAATTGAAGCAACTTTCTTCCTTTTCTTCCCTTTCACTAGATTGTATCTCTCACTCTTCTCTTCATTTCATCATGTTTTTTTTTTTTCGTCTCGAAACTCCAAGTGACTTTAGATGTATCGGGGCAGAACCGACTCGAGACAAGATCGACATCGCATCGAGCGTGTATTTTTCCAATATCGCGGACAATGTTCCGATTTTCAGATACGATAGCAAAAACTACGAAATGTGAAATTTCAATGAGTTGACTGAAAGTAACTTTCATCGAAGATTATCTTGTCCGTGAACGTTGAAAAAAAAAGGAAAGTGCCGCGTGCGTTTGGTGCAATAATTTTCTGCTTGGTTTTTACGCGTCGAGCCAAAGATATGTTCAGGATATACGCGTATATAGTCTTGCGGCGTGTAAGTACAAGCCCTTTGTCAAAATTTTCATTGTTCTAAAATTCTGTGTCTCTAAAACGTAGCAACATTGTCTTCAACATTGGCGATAATAGTAATAGTAGTAATGGTGATGGTAATAGAGTAGTAGGTAGTCTGCGTTTGTCGACGAAACCGCAAAAAGGCGGCTCGGCCGCGTTGAGCGCGATTATAGCGCAAGCTCGCCGCGAAATTACCTTCGTGGCCGCCCCTCGTGACGCCCTTCCCGGCGAGTCGAATCGTGAGACGAGCCGCCGCGGAATTCGCGGCATTGCGTGGCCTGCGTGGTTCTTCATGCGTGATATCGAGGCGCGAAACATTGGCGACGATGAAAGAGGCAAATTCGGCCTCTATCGGAATGCGGATCCGCGGGGGCAAAAGTGAAACGCGCGACGATGGACGACCGCAAAGGCAACGACGACAGCGACGATGGCCACCACGAATCGGCCGCGACCAGAATTCCTGAATGACGCTGGCCGCGTAAAAATTATGAATGGCCATATTATTGCAAGTTGGCAGCGCGATGCGCCGCGGCACGATACATTGCTACATAGATACGATCTCCGGTAGTAGTAGTTTGCGCCCAGGCAGTTAGCGCTGTTTCGCTCGCTGACTCGGCGCTACTCGATCCAATCGAGCTGACTCAGATCCTCCGCCCTCACTCTCTCGCCACGTTCGCGCTCTCCTTCTTTCTCCCTTCGTTGCTCTTTCGCTTCTTTTCTTTCTCTCTCTCTCCCTCCCTCTCTGTTTCTCGTTGTTCCATCGTGTGTGCCTCGTTGCATTCATTCACTCTCGAACGCTCGCGTTCCGCGCCTGTTCTTTTACTCCCTCTCCCCCTCGCCCTTCTCTTCGCCTTTCTTTCTAGTTCCGTCTCTCGTCTGTTCCTTCCTGTCTTTCTCCCTCTTACCCGCTTCTGCCCCCCTTTTTCTCTCCTTTCCTCGGATTCTTCTTTCCATTCACTCGAGCACACGGCTCTCTCATGCGTTTTGCACCCGATTCTCTTTCGCTTTTGCTTTTACCTTCTCTCTTGCTCTCGCTACCACCCTCTTGTCACCAA